GGGTATGAAAAACTTCATACAGGGCTGTCACATCGCAGATGTTTTGGAGACATTTGTCACTGTTGTTACCAAAGGCAGAAGGGGTAGTGAGGGTCTCTGTTGTAGCTGACCACCATAAACATCTGATTATAAGGTGGACTCTGGAGAGAGAGATAGAATGGAGACCAGAAGACAGGAGCCAGGGGAGGGGCTTGGCATTCTACAACCTACTTTGTCACGTGGCTATGAAAGTACTTCTCAAAAGAGAGAAAGCAGTCCCAATGGGAATGCACCTCATCCGAGTGGGGCCAAGTGAGGTATATTTCTGTGTAACCTTGCAAGGGGACCGAGAGGTGCCAGGCTACCAGGATTGCAGAAAGATACCTGCTTCATCTTGTCCCTTAGACATGGCACTGTACAAACCTGGTGGCTCTTATCCATCTTGTCCACAGGGAATTCGCCAAAGAGAGGGAGAGAGTGGAGAACCGAAGAGCTTTCATGAAGCTGCGGCGCCAGCAGCAGATCGAGCGTGAGCTGAATGGCTACCGTGCCTGGATAGACAAAGCAGGTGAGCTGCAGGAGCCTGGGGCGAGGGGACAAGGGGGCTACACAGACCACAGGGCCCACCCATACTCCCAAGCGCTTCCATTCAAGGGGCAGCTCAGACTGGAGCAGAGAGAAGGTCTGAATGCCTTGTTGGCGCTTTGGCTTTCCTGCTGGCCTCACGTTCTTCCTCTGGGGTCGAACTGTTCATCTACTGGACACCTTTCGTTAGGCAGGCATCTTAGCAAGGTGAACTGTGTAAAAGGTGACAGCCCAGTCCTCAAGCTCAGGTTGGTCTGGTGACATTGTCTAATGCTCATCCTGGTGCTGCTCATAACAGTCTACTCATTTAAATATTTATCCAGTGCCTGCTTTATGCCAGGCCCTATTCTAGGCACTTGGGACATAGCAGTGAGCCAAAGACGCCACCAACTCTCCCACACTCTTCTCTTATAGGTAGTTCATGGTAGGGGGTGGGGGAAGGGGAGAGCGGAGAGAGGGAAGGGGAAAGGGGTGGGAGAAGAGAAGAGCAGAGAAAGGGAAGGGGGTGGGGGTCTCCGTGTGTGACACAACTTTTGGGGGCAGGACACAATTATAAGAGGGACTTTACCTAACAAATGCAATTAGTGTACCCTGGTTTCTTGTACCCTCAATGAATCCCAAACAATAAAAATAATTAAAAAAAAAAGAAATAGACAAAACTATAAATGAGTAACTTGTAAGAAGATGGTAAGAAGATAAGTCCAGTGAGAAAACAGATCAGGGTATGGTTATGCGGGTACACTGTGATTTCACTAATAGTGGGGGTCGAGGTAGGCCATTCGTGAGACTTGAGGAGATGAGGTAGTGAGCCCCAGGCAGATCTGGGAGAGGAGTACTTCGGAGCTGAGTCCTGGCCCTGGGGGGCGGGGTGGGGGGTGGGCCAGGAGTGCCCAAGAAAGGGAATGGGGAGTGGGCAGGGCAGTAGAGCAGGAGACAGGGTGAGGGCCGGCAGGGGCGGGGGAAAGTGGGCAGCAATTACATGTGGCCATATGGGCCATTATAAGGGCTGTGGGTTTTACTGTGAGTGACACAAGAACCACAGGAGGGTTTCGAGCAGAGAACTGACATCCTCTGACTAAAGCTGTGAAGGGACACGTGGCTGCTGCATTGGGAATAGAACACAGGGGGACAGGGCTGGAAGCAGGGAGAGCAGTCGTGAGGCTATTGCAGCCATCCAGGTAAGAGCTGACAGTGAGGACAGGTTGTTTCCTAAGCCTCGAGCTGTCATTGCTCCTCACCCTGTGGCTCAACATCAGGAATAGTTCTTGCCCAGCTGTGTGAATACGGCCAAACCTGTCCTAATTTTGTTACCCCGCAGAGCCACCAGGTTCAAGTTCGACTGCTGTTCAGCTGCTTATGAGGGGCATCTATCACCCAGTATCTGTCAGTAAAAGGGATACATTTGCTTTATTATTTTAAATGTTGGATTTCATTGGTGTTATATATCTTCATTTTCTTCCAGAGCAAAGAGTGATTTTTTTAATAAAAAAAAAAAATACTAAGCATATGACAGTCAGCATCTTTCTCTGCTCCTGGTAGAAAGCACAGCACAAATGTCAGGTCATGGAGGGAAAATTTAGAGTATGATTTGATGCTTAGCAGCCTGAGCCCAGCCCTTCCTTAGGAGCTTTGGAATGACAATTTGACACTCTTCCTCTGGCCGCCAGCACACAACAGGCCCCTCTGAGCTCTGGAGTCAACTTCTGATTATCCCTGAGGGCTGAGAGATGATGTGTATGATTGAAAGGCAGATGCACTGCCCTGTCTGGGACCCTCTGAATTCCCCTGTTACCTCTGGAAGCCTGAGTGATGCGTGTTGGCTGTGCTCCTGTTTCACCCTTTCTCCTCCAAGAGCTGTTGTGTAGGGGTGGGGTGGATATGACTCTCTCCTATCTCTCCCCTGAATGGGAACTCAGCCCTACTGGGGAGGGTAAGCAGATTGGCCTCCAGGCCAGGCAGGCAGCATGATGTTCCCACCTGCCCTTGGCTTTCTTGGTGGAGGCGCCATCTGACAGACCACCGAGAGCTGGCAGTGGACCCAGGGAAGAGCCCTCCCAGCCCTCACCGTGACCCCACACAGGCCTGGAGGCACAGTGTGCTGCTCTTTGTGGCTCTGCCTTTCAAATACTTGCAAGATTCCAAGGCTTCCCTTTCTTCCAGTTGGCAAGGCCAGCTCTCTCCTCCTTCTAAGAAAAAAGACGCACTGCGACGTCAAATTGTGCTTCCCGGCCCTTCCCTTACAAATGGAGCGTGAGTGAATCAGAGACATATGGGTTACATTTCCCTGGAAAGACATTCAAGTTCTAAAGCAAACTTGGCAAAAGGTTGGGAGCGGGAGAAGGAGGGCGGTTTCCACACATCCAGAGCCCTCAAGCGCTTCCCAGGGATGCAGGGCGGCACCATGAACCTTCCATCTGCCTTGGGGGTCCTCAGATCTGCCCACCCAACGCCCAGACACCGTGCAGAGCTGAAGTGACCCTCTGCTACGGTAATTAACATTGTTGTGAGGTATTTTATTTAACAAGTACCTAATTTAAAATGATACCCTCCAAACAACCTGTGCTATGAAATGGCTTTAAAACCTTCTATGTCTGCAGGAAGGAGCACCCCGACAACACTTAACCTGTTAGCTTAGTGTTTTGCCAGAGGCTGTATTTAAAAAAGAAAGGTAAACATTTATGACTTGGCATAATAGCCATCCTGCTAGTACCATCTCAGCCTCAAAATGTCCCCCTTCCTGGGAAATACATTATATACTCTTCAGTTTTAGATGCATTTGGAATATGGTAATGACTTTGGCCTCTCCTATATCCTTGTACTTGTTAAAAGTACTTAAACCATTGTTTAAAAGGGTCTCCTGCAAGCTTCTCTCCCACCCACCAGATGGGATCTTAGGGACTGATAGCTGAGGTCTCCAATAGCCTAGCCCAGGGTTTGAGATCAAAACTTGTCCAAGTCATCCCCAGTGGGACACTTGGGATCCTACCAGACGGGGCAGAAGGGCTATTTTGCTGGTATATTTGGAGGGTGCTAGGGAAGTGTAGATCTAGGTAGAAAATAGTATCCCTCTGGTGGTGACCCCTCAGTGGAGTGTAGGACTACCCCTGGGGAGGCAGAGAGCACAGAACCCAGGGGCTGTGCACTGTCTTTTTCAAACACCAACAACCAAATGATGTTGTTCCAACGTCAACCAGTTTTTCCATTCTCTAACACCAACTGGGTGTCTGACAGGTTAACTCAATTCTGCTACTATAACTGCAGACCCTATAGATTAAAGGCTCAGTCCCACGGGACTGCCCCACTTTAGATGCCAGCTGAAAGTAGGGTCCCCAGGAGACAAGCATTTCTGCCTGACCAATTACAAATTCAGGGGTTCATATAACCTCCCCCTCCAACCCCCACCGTTCATTAATTCGCTAGGATGACTCACAGAACTCTGGAAAAACTGTGCTTTTACCAGTTTATTATAAAGGATACATCTCAGGAACGGCCAAATGGAGGAGATGCACAGGGCCAAGTTTGGGGCTTAGGGGGCACACCACCCTCCACCTTGTCTATGGGTTCACCAACCCAGAAGCTCCCTGAGCTGGTCATTGGGTGGGGGGGGGGTTGTGGCTATTTCATTAAGTAGGCCTGCTTGGTTAAATCACTGGGCATTGGTGATTAAACTCATCTCTAGCCCCCTCTCCTCCCTACAAGTGCAGAGGGAAAGGCTGAGATTTCTAAGGCCAGATGCCATCCTTAAACTATTAGGGGCCTCTGTGTCTTCCCAGAGTCGTCTTATTAGCATACCAAAGACTCTGAGCCAGGAACCAGAGACAAAAACTAAATATTTATTTTTTATTATACCGTAGGCATAAACTCAGGATGGGCCCAGGCCCCTTTGTCTCAAGCTCTGCTCAACTGCAGCAGGCAGGAGGTGGTGGGGACACAGGAGGCCCACACCCCCTGGCCTCTCTCTGAGGGCCTTGAGGCATTCGGTGCCACCTCCTCAAAGACTCAGAGGTGGGCTCCCCTGCTGAATGGCGGTGTAGATGTTAGGCACAAGGAAACACAAACGAGAGAAGGCAGGAAACTGGGGAGAAGGAAACACAGAAACGGAAATTTGTCATTCCTATCAACGTAGGGGGTTTTAGTTGAAAAGATCTCTTCTTCCTCGCCCGTGTCCTTCTGAGTGTGGGTATCAGACACACGGCGGAATTTTGCCCATCATCCCCACACTCCTCCCCGAGGATTTGCTCTCTGTTCTGTGAGCTCTGCGTGCCCTCAGTGGCACCGGATCTGTTTCTGATGCTGGTGCCTGTGACAGACTCTGAACTCTTTACTTTCTCTGTTACCCTGGAGCCAAAGCTGTCCCCGAGGGATTTTCGTTTTGCAAAATAATTTGGCATTTCTGGATAATTTACTAAACCATTTGTTTCCATATAGAGGAAGTCATGCTTGCTGAAGAAAATAAAAACACTGGAACATCCGCCTTAGAAGGTAAGGAAGCACTCCCACACCTGCCCGCATTTGCCTTCGCCCCCTCTTAGGTGGTGGCAATCTCTCTTGATCAGAAGAGGGGAAAGAAAGAGAAGAGGGTACTCTGGGATTTGAAAGGAAAGCAGCTCTGTCATAAAACCCCTCATGCTTTAAAATGAAGGGAATTGAGTCACAGATTTAAATGCCTTTTAAAGTGATGAAAATGAAACCCGAGAGTTGCTTTGTTCCCAGGCATGTGATTGATACTGTGCAGTGAAAAGACCATCACACGACCAATGGCACATGAAGGGGTCTGCTTTTAAGATGTGTGGGGATCATCTTGAGACCACTTTTGCTACCGGGAAGTGGCATCGTTTATGAATAGATAGGGAGGGGAGGTTTGTTTATGCATTTAGACCAGTTCTGGCAGGCATCCTGGAGCCCGTGTATTCAGGAGGTGCTAGGGAGCACAGCGTTCTTGGTTCTGTAGATATTTTCTGTTTCTGTCACCCAGCCTCAGGGATTAAAGGAGGCAGACGTCTGTGTCACAGGGTCTTTGCACAGGCCTCTTGCCTATGGTCCTCAAGTTTTGTCCAGAATGGTCTGGGTGTGCTTGTGACCTCTCACCAGCCTTCCCTTCCCCGGTGTAGTGCTTCGAAGGGCAACCATCAAAAGGAGCCGAACAGAGGCCATGACCCGAGACTCCAGCGATGAGCACTGCGTTGATATCTCTTCTGTGGGTAGGTGGATCCGGTCAAAGATCTCCTTTTATTGATTTGAATCCCCCATGAAAAACAAGATCCCATCTTTTGAGAAGCACCACAAAAAGAAAAAGAATCCAGAACTTAGGGATATAATTAAGGAAAGACATGGGAATCTAATCTAGATGACCATGATTTACCCCCAAACCCAAAATGACGGACCAGGGGGACGCTGTTTACATGAAATGTGGGGTTTCGGAATCTAACTCTGGTTCTTCACATGTACCTCATTTGTAGACGTATCCTCTCTCCCAGGCATGATGATGAAAACCTACTTTGAGATATTGTTCAAAAGCTCCTGAAAACCTATTTCTTCTCATGACCCAGACATGAAAACTTGAGGTCATCTGCTTAACCGTGGCAGCACCCACCTGCTTCCATCATGTGATATTTAAGCTATTTTCTATTGTCAGCCCTTGAATGTGTTCAATATGAGATTCTGGCTGATGGCAAGTTTTTCTTGCCCAGAAAAAGAGAAAGGTCTCACTCCCTTCTTAAACGCAGAAGAGACTCACAGTGCTCACTGCTGCTCTGGGCTGCCAGTGGTAGAAAGATCTCCAATGCGGCAGAAGGATTCCAGTGCCTGCAGCATATTTAAAAGGAAAGGGCAGAGAGAAGCCCAATCTGTTGCAAATATAAACATGATCCTATTAGGATTCAAGACACTGAGTATTTTTGCCTGGTATCCTGCCTAGGGAATCCTTCCGTTTTCTAGGACTGAGAGTCCCAGAGAGGGGATTCCCTGGGCCTGCACCATGTCGGCCACCTTGCCCTGATGCTTAAGCTGCTCATCTTACCCACCGAATGCTTCATGGCTGCAGAGGGTGATCCCAGGATACATTTCAGTCTCATTTTTCCTCCTTATATCTTTTCTTTCCCCTTAGGCACACCTCTTGCCCGAGCCAGTATCAAAAGCTCAAAGGTAGACGGGGCCTCCTATTTCCGGCACAAGGAAAGACTTCTACGCATCTCCGTTCGTCACATGGTTAAGTCCCAGGTGTTTTACTGGGTTGTGCTGAGCGTTGTGGCACTCAATACCGCCTGCGTGGCCATCGTCCATCACAACCAGCCCCAGTGGCTCACCCACCTCCTCTGTAAGTGAACAGTGACTGCTGCCTGTGTGAATATGTTAGAGCAAGCGATCTGCTAGGCCCAGCTGGGCTTCTGCCAGCCAGGGGTTCTGCCTCTTCACAGTGCAGGGGAGGCCAGAGCTGTTCTCAAGGGGGCTGGCTTATCACGTGACTGTTATCAGCTTTCATTCATTGCTGAATCAGGCAAACAAATCTCTGATGATGAGTCAACAAGATAAACTTACACCTAAGTGAAGGGCTAAACCTTCACTTAGCCCTTTTTTAAAATTTTAATTCAGATTAATATGAGGTTACAGATGATTAGGTTACACATTGTTTGTGTGTCTAAGGTAAAGTTCAGGTTGTCACTGAGGCAGCTGAGCCCTTCATCCAGAGGGTGTACTAGATACTCTCACAATGTGTCCATTAGGTGAGCACTGACCAATCCCCCTTCCTCCTTTCCTTCCCCCTTTCCCTCTTCCCCTCCATTTGAATACTTGTTTTTCTATTAGATTCATATTAGTATCGAGTACATTGGATACTAAGACCAAAAGTGCCCAGAGATGGCATTTCCATGTTTGCAATACTTTACTAAGAAGAGTGTGGAGGGATCAGCCTAGCTCACTGCAGCCTCAAACTCCTGAGCTGAAGTTATCCTCCTGTCTCAGCCTCACTTAGTTTTGCAAGGAGGTGCAGTGGTATAGGAAATTTTGAACATTGAAGTTCTGAGGGATATTTCAAATAGGCTGAATCTATGGGGCAGCTCTGGATAAGACTGCCCCTGTGTGTGAAGGCCAGGAGGTGTCCCTGCTGGACATGGGAAGAGGAGTCCCACTCTTTGTCAAAACCAAAGTAAATTCTCCTCTGAGGGCCCTGTACAATTTAAAGTCCAGTGACAGAACTACATTTGAAAGAGAGCAGAGCTGATCTTGCGAGCATGTCTGGGACTCATCGTGGATCAGAGTCCTCACATGTCATCAGGCTCTGCCCAGCACCAGCCTGACATGGCCACTGAACATCCTTGCCCTGTGTTGTTGTGGGTTTCTCTGTGGGTGGGTATGTTTGCTGGGGAATGCAAGAGCCCACATCATCTGTGGAACTAATGCTTCTGCTTGTTATTTTTCAGACTATGCAGAATTTCTGTTTCTGGGACTCTTCCTCCTAGAGATGTCCCTGAAGATGTATGGCATGGGGCCGCGCCTTTACTTTCACTCTTCATTCAACTGCTTTGATTTTGGGGTGAGTCCCCGGAAGCCTTCCCATCCTCCTGCTTCGTGTTGATATGCCATGCTTCTAGATAAGCAGCTTGCCCTGTTACTCAGCAGGAGCCATTGCAAGCAGAATTTATAGAGGGAGAATAGATGAGATTAGCCAAAGGGGATTCAGAAGAAAGTGAATCCTCACCCCGCAAGAATTTGTTTGGGTTTTTTCCTAAGCTCTTTGATTTCTAATGTATATATTGAAGTGTAACACATATACCATAGAGTGCACACTTAAGTGTATAGCTGAATGAGTTTTTACAAAGCTACCCAGAGCTGGAGTTTTGAACCACTTATTATCTTGGGAGAAGCCTGGGAGAAAAGGACAAAGGACTTGATTCTAGAGGTGGTTCCTTAAAAAGAGAAGCTTATATATTTGTTTGTTCTACTTTAGTTTAAAAGTAGGATAATTATCTAGATGTAGTCTCATAGAAACACACACAGACATACACCCTTATATTAGTAAGTCCCCAAGTCGGATATCTCAGCCAGCTGTTTACTTTCTTTATAATATTAATATCCAAATGTGTACATTACTATTATAGCAGTCTTCCAGGTGTTCTCACACACATTGTTTTTTGTCCTCTGCTGCCTACAGGCGTCCCAGGCACTGCATTATGCATCAGGAGTTAGGCTTCCCATTTCCACATGAGTAAATAAAAGCCACCGTGTACAAGTTCAGGTGCCCAGTTAGCCGCGGAACTAGGTCGGGGAACTTTGGGCTCCTGAGCCACTTCTCTGTCTGCCAAACCCACTTCTTTTTCTGCCAAAGCTTCAGTTAGGTGCTAAAGATTTTGAGCTCTTGCCAATTTATATTTTAACTTGGAACATATGGTTCTGAGTATGGGCAATTTTCAGGCAGAACAGCTAGTGAGAGACCATTTTAACCTTATGTACATACCTTTCAGCATTGCTGTGAGGATTCATTTTTGTTATCCCTTGTAGCACAATGTCTAGAATACAGTATACATCCAATAAATGTATAATTAAAATTAAATTGAAATGTCCATTTGAAATTACTGTTTTCTATAGCGTTTAGGCCCTATGTCAACAAGGTCTGTTACATTGGGGGTTGCAAGACCACAGTGACTGAAGGCTGTTTACTATACCACGAATCACAGCAGTTCTTAGGGGAAATACTTTCAACTTTTCCCCATTCAGAGTGATATTTGCTGTGGGTTTGTCATAAATGGTTTTTATAATTTTGAGATAGGTTCCTTCTATGCCTACTTTGTTAAGAGTTTTCTATCATGAAAAATCATGGATTTTGTCTAATGCTTTTTCTGTATCTATTGAGATGATGATGTGATCTTTGTTTTTGCTTCTGTTTATGTGGTGAATCACATTTATTGATTCACAGATACATTCTTGTTAGCACTAAATGCTAGGATAGTGAGACGATGCGGGCCCTCTCTGAGATTTCCACATGGAAATACAACCTGTACTAATTTAAATTCGTTTTCTTGGTTTGAGCGCCATTCCTTTGTCTGTCTGTTCAAGGGTTTATGATGTCAGAACAGCTATGGCTATCAGATTTGTGCAGAAGCAGTGACTAGCTGTGTCGTTTTCAACAAAGACAGGAGTCAGTAAACCATTGTATATGAAAGATTAAAGTTAGAAAGGGGAGTGCAGAGCAGTGGGAGAGAGGTGGCAGTTGTCACAAGGAGGTAGCCTGTTGGCAACAGGGCCGGATGTGGAGAGGATGAGTTTTAATTTCCATATAGCCCAGAGAGAGCTGTCGATTGTGTGCTGAATACCCAAATGTTCCTCTCTTCTCCTTCTCTTTCTCCCTTCACTGTGGCTGGGTTTGCCTCTTTAGGTCACAGTGGGCAGTATCTTTGAAGTGGTCTGGGCAATCTTCAGACCTGGCACATCTTTTGGAATCAGTGTCTTGAGAGCTCTTCGGCTTCTAAGAATATTTAAAGTAACCAAGTAAGTGATGAGAATTTGGACTCTGCCCAATCACCTTTGAGAGTGGAACATTCTCTCCGCCTTATATTTCCTTCCATCTCCTCTTTCCCCCATTACCACATGTTTCCCTGCCCTGCCCTGCTTCCCACTCCATTCTTCAGCTCCTCCTCCTCCTAAGATCAAGCCAGAAAATATCTATGATGCCGGATCCTTTGCCACATTCCCTAGGGAGCAACATATTGCTGCCATCCCCACTTCCTACAAGTATACGAATGTAGCTAATTTCATAGAATACCAGGAAGATGCTGGGCTGGACCTGGGGTGGCTGGTGTTCCCTGTTCACAGCTGTAGTCTTGTCTGGAACTTGTAGGTATTGGGCGTCCCTGCGGAATTTGGTGGTCTCCTTGATGAGCTCCATGAAGTCTATCATCAGTTTACTCTTCCTCCTCTTCCTCTTCATTGTTGTCTTTGCTCTCCTAGGAATGCAGCTGTTTGGAGGCAGGTAAGCACCAAAGGGCCCTCCACCCAAAGAAGGCTCAAAACCTAGTTTTAAGCCTATAAGGACCAGGGTCATTACCTTGGTCACCATGCCACCATCTTGTCTGTTCTTCTGCATGGCCTGAGTCCACTGCTGAGTACATGTGTGGAACAAATGTCTTCATACTGCATGGCATTCTCAAGCACCCACTCCTTTGGCACTGTCCCTGGAGTGCGCAGCATGGAGCCTTTTAAATGATGATCAGCTCAAACCCTGTCTAACTACCCACACCCTTCAAAGTGCCTAGTTCACAGTAGAAGTCATTCATGCTATCTTTATAAGTTATATGAGATAGGGAAAAAGTAGAGAAAGGGGGGAATGTGGAAAAAAAGAGAAAAGACATGATGAGAACTATAATCTTAGGAAGGGTAAAGTTGGTATGTGAGATTCTCATTCCATTCTTCTCTCTGAATTTCCTTTTCAGGTTTAACTTTAATGACGGGACTCCTTCAGCAAATTTTGATACCTTCCCGGCAGCCATTATGACTGTATTTCAGGTATGAGGCCAACAGACAGTCTAGACTGCTGTGCGGGGTCCCTTGGACAGTGGTATCTTAGAGTGTCAGGAGAGTTCTGTTTCTTTCTCCAGATTCTTCCCAGAGTACGGGGCACTCTTTCTTGTTGAGTATCATGACCACAATGATTCTTGGACCTCTGTGCCTCTGCTCTCACCAATAGTTAGCGAGCTCCTTCCTGACCACCTCATTGTCCTTCTCCCTATACCTGTGAGCTTGTGGGAGACACTGAGTCTGAGACCTTCAGCCACAAATCCCATTTATGGTTTTCTGAAATCTGGAGGCATCTTCTGACCCATTTCGTGAGGTATCCATTAAATGAAGTCCATTTAGTGAGGTGTCTTTTCCACTCCCACTCCCCCCCCCATACACACACACAAAACAACTTCTTAAATCATGGAGAAAGTTCAAAATCAATAGTGTCTTAGAGCTAAAGGAAAACAATATTTAGCCAGAATCTGAGCCTGCTAACAAGACTGAACCAGAACCCAAATTTCCTGAAATGTTCCCCACAAGGCTTATTCCAGTAATGCTCTGTTCCAGGAACTGTATCTGGGCAGTGCTGGGGACGGGCAGGTAATGGGCTGCCAAAGCTGGATGTGGGAGGGACTCTAGTTTGAGAAAAAGAACCATTCTTTTTGAGGTTGTCCTTCCATCTTCAATTCCTAAAATGCTCTTCCATAACAAAAGAAAGTTTAGAATTCTTTCTAGGAATGACTTTTTTTTTCCTCCCTAGCAGGATGGTCAAGCAAGCGGGTAAACGGAAAGGACCCAGACCCAGAGCTTGCTATTTGCATGGGCCCTGTTTTCTTCACCAACCCAGGTGTCTGACCTGCCTGTTCGCTTTTGCAGATCCTGACAGGCGAGGACTGGAACGAGGTGATGTACAATGGGATCCGCTCTCAGGGGGGCGTCAGCTCAGGCATGTGGTCAGCCATCTACTTCATCGTGCTCACCTTGTTTGGGAACTGTATCCTTTCTAAATGGTCCAACCGTGCTGTCCACCCTTTGGGACCAGCTTAGGAGGAGGAGATGGTGGAGGCAGTGGCAGCAAAGCCTGGGTAGGCAGGGGTGTGTGGGGGCCGTGGACATTGCTCAGTCTATTCAGACAAAAAAAGAATCCTGATCACACAGAACTTGGACACCAGGTAAGTAAAGAATACAAACATACATGAGATAGAGTTTATACCAAATCTACTTATACACTACTAATCACATATGAGGCTGTTAACCTTGAATGGTTGGAAATACTCTGCCCTGGAAAGATAGGAGAGGACAGAGTTCATTGTAGACTGAAATAGCAGAAAGAGTATAATGGTAGTGAATTAATTGCAATGGTAGTGAATTAATTGCATGCTAATGTAGAACAGAACCTGCCATCTAGGAAGATCTTTAATATACTAATATTATGATTAATGCTGCTACTGCTCATTATAGCTAATATTTATTTATTTGTGCTGTATGTGAGACCATGGACTAAGTGCTCAACAAACACTATTTCATTTAATCTTTGCTTTATGAGACGCAGAGAGAAGAAATAACTTGATTAAGTCAAATAACTACTAAATCAAAAAGGGATATTACAAAGCAAGTCTGTCTAGCGCCAGTGCCCATAACCTGGTCAGAGGATCTGGATCAGGACGATTTAGTTTAAGTCCCAGCAACTCTGCATACTTGCTGTGTAACCTGGGGAAAGTCACTCAGTCTCTCTGAGCTTCTCTTTTTCATTGTTAGGAGGCTAACAGTATCTGTTTCCTTTGTCAGTTGCAAATATTGAATGAGATAACTTACTTAAATGTGCCTGACAACGGCAAACTTCTTTATACTCATTAAATATTTGGGGGCACTGGGATTTGCCTTGAACTGAGATTAGCAGAGCAAAAAGTGAGAGCTGTGCATTGCAGCTATATTTTTGCATTTTCTGTAGTTTCATAAAGAAGAGGTGTGTTCCTTTATGTTTCTGCCCTGAAAACTTCTTCTAGGGTTGGAGTAAGCCATGAGCTAAACAATAAAAAACATATAAGAAGAAAGCTATCAGTGAGTTGCAGAAATGGACTCCCGTCCTTTGTCACAATGCCACTATTACAATGGCACCTTGATTTCCCCATTGCTCCGAGTATAGTCAGAGCTGGACTTTTATGCTAAAACCATGTTCATGTCCCACAACACATAAGCTTCAATGACAGTTGGAAAATTGGGACCTGCGGGGTTAGAGCATGGAATAGAAAGGGATTTCCTAATGGATGGTGCCTGCTCTATGACATTCTGTTAAATGAAACATGGAAACCTTCCAGGTCCCTAACATGAGTGAGAGAAGTGAGTTAGCATCCCGTTACTGAGAGCAGCTAAATGACAGAGGGTATGGCATCTCATTTCTTTTCATCTTACAGGACAGCACCGCATGATGCTGCTTGGTCTAGGTGGGATCCCATGCCAGCCTCCCGGAAAGAGGAGAAGAGCTCCTCCACAGAGCTCCCTACACATGTTATTGTTCAATGGTTCTCTTATTTGTTATTGCTGTGGATAGAGGCCACAGCTGTCTAAAGACCTTTTGAGTGTGGAAAAACAAACTCAGAGTGCTTTTTTCCATTCGCTCACTCAACAACAGTCAACACAGAAGACTTCTGTGACCAAACGTGTGGGTTCATTCCCCCCCACCAACAAGCAGGCAGTAATTCTGCAGCAGACAACAGCTGGGTGTCCTCTAATTTAATTCCGATGCTGTCTGCCTAGAGATAGCCTCAGATCCCGCAGTCTGAGAGCTCAGTCCCCAAGACTTCTTCCCTACTTCCGATGGCAATCTCAGCCTTGGGTTATTCTGCCTGTACTTCTGACCTACTGACTATAAATCAGGAACCCCCAACCCCTTCTCAGATTCAATTAATTTTTACAGTGGCTTGCAGAACTCAGGGAAACACATTTACCAATTTATTATGAATAATATCACAAAGGACACAGATGAAGAAATGCACAGGGTAAGGCATAGAGCGTCCATGCCCTCTCTGGATGCACCACCTTGAAGGACGTCCACGTGTTCAGTTACTGGAAGCTCTCCAAACCCTGTCCTTTGTGTTCTCATGGAGAGCTTCATTGCACATGCATGATGGATTAAGCCACTGGCTATTGGTGATTAATATAACCCTCAGCACCTCTCCCCTCCTAAGAAGTTGAAGGGTAGGGTCAAACTTTCCAACCCTCTTGTCCTGCTTTTGTCTTTTTTCCATGACCAGTCCTGTCCTAAAGCTACCTACAGGTGGAGGGACAGACTAAACTACTAGCCATCAGTCAAGTCATTAGCCTATAGAAAGCCTCCACTTTGGAATTTCTACGAATTTTAGGAGTTGTGTGCCTGGAAACAGGTTTAAAACCAAATATGTATTTCACAGTGCCCTGGGCCTCCTCACCTCACTTGCTCCCCTCAGTGGTCTGATTTAAGTATCTCTGCGTCCTGTGAAAAGAGATGATATGTGGAAGGCAGAAGATGCACCCCCTTTCTGCTTCAGAGTTGCACAACCTCTCCGCCTCTCCTCCCACAGCCTCTGCTAATGGGACTTTGTGGAATAGCTTCTGCTCCTGCCAGTGTCCAGCAGAAAAGACATGGAGGTTCACACTGAGCTTTGCTGAAGACCTTTTCTTTCTTACGTGCCCATCCTTAACTCATCACTGCCAGACACCCTGCTGAATGTGTTCTTGGCCATTGCTGTGGACAATTTGGCCAATGCCCAGGAGCTGACCAAGGTGAGCATTGTTTTCTGGGGATCTGATGGTTCTATACTGCCCTTAGGTACCTTCTGATCCTTGGGAGGTCTCTCCCCAAATCTGCATTATCTGACTCAGGCCTGCTAGGAAGGCCTTTTCAGAAAGCCACATCCATGATGGAAGCCTGGTTCACTTTCATAGAGTTTGGTGAGCCTCAACTCAGCCTGGGTTTCCCATAGGATACAGAAGTAACTGCTGAATCTCTAAGAACCCACAAAGGGAGCCCTGATTTAGGCTCCACCTCTACGTGACCTACAGCTGTGTGACCCTAATCTGTGTGACCCTACTGAGTGGCCAGTAACTTCAAAGCTCCTGAGCTATGGCCTCTGGGATATTCTACTGGCCATGGTCCTTCTGGGGACCGTTCAGTGAAGCCAGGTACTACATTTCTCAGAGAGATGTTCCTTTCCTTCCTGATGCATCTCCCTGAGGGGAGGAGGCAATACTAATTGCAGAAGGATGATCTTCAGAGATGAGTAAAACTCTCCTCCCCATACAATGCAAATTTGGTTTGGGACAGAGGCACTTAGCATCTGGTGAGGTTTCTGGGACGTCTTCCATGTGTTCCATCATCTGTTGGCTACTCTGCCCTACATCTTTGGGGGTCTTCATCTACATAGTCTAGTAGGAAAAATGCCAGCTTTAGCCTTTTTTACTCACACTGGGTTTGAGTCCCACATCTGCCACATACTGGCTGTTTTAGCTTTGGCCAGACTCCTGATCTCTGTTAACATCAGTTTCCTCGTGTGTGGGATGGGAATAATGTATCTGTCTTGGGTAGCTTCTCAGGATTACCGTGGGGTTCAAATGATATAATGTAGGGGAAAATTATAGCTTGCTGGAAAGGCATGTGTATTCTTAACAGCACTAGTCCTTTTACCTGGCCTGGTTTTCCTTGGCGTTATCACGGAGAGGGGACACTTAGAGGCAAGAATGTTGGCGAAGGGATTCAGTCTATGCCTGAGCATGCTGCGCAGGGCTGCTTAGCTGTGCCGGGAAGACACCAGGCTGAGCTGCTCAGCCCCAGCTCTGTATTGGGGCCTTGCCTAGAAGGACCCTATTCCATCACATCCAGACACTGCAGGACACCTGAGAAGTCTTAGCTCCTGTGCTGACCTCCATAGCCACAGCCAGCTCCAGTAAGGGCCAGGGGCTAGGGCAGATGTGCTGAGCAGCCTGTAGGAGTAGGGTACTGGAACCATGAGGCTGCTGTGTCCCAAGTGGCCTGGCCTCTGGCCATCAGAAGTCTCTGAGCCACCTAACCTCATGCCTCAACCCCCTTGTTGAACTTCTCCCTCTGCCTTCCTCACTCACCTGGTCTTCAGAACTCCTACCAGGAGAGTCAAGGGAAGCTACTGTCATTTGTGGAGGTCCCCTGGTAAAGCCATATCTGCTTTGTGCCTAGGATGAACAAGAGGAAGAAGAGGCCTTCAACCAGAAACACGCACTGCAGAAGGCCAAGGAGGTCAGCCCGATGTCCGCACCCAACATGCCTTCTATCGAGTGAGTCAACTGCCCCCTTCACGACCCCTGGGCTCCTGTGTGGACAGGCAGTCCGGCAGCTCACGGAACTGTTGGCTAGAGGAGTGTGCCTGCTCCATGCCAGGATCAGTGTCTGAGAATCTAGCAGTGAGCAAGACAGTCTCTGTTCTCGCTGAGCTTTTACTTCTTGTGTATGATAGATGAGAAACAGGGAAATAGTTTCAGATAGTGACAGGTGCTGTATAGTAAAAAGGAACAGGGCCACTGGCAGAGAGGGACAAGAGTTCGGGGGAATACCTCGGGGTAATCCAGGAGGGGTTCTCCGGAGAGGTGATGTTTAAGCAGAGACCTAAATGTGTGGAAGGCGGTCGTGTAACACTTTGAAGGAAACTTGCCCCCCATGAAAGCCCAGCGTGGTGGGTGTGTAGCACATAAGGGAAATGGAGGGAGACAAAGCCAGCATGGTGGGCGGGAGCCGACTCAGTGGTCCTTAAGGCCAGGTGGAGGATTTCAACTTTTATTCTAATTGGAATCATGGGAGGATCTAAAGTGGAAAGATGGATATGACATGGTTTATACTTAAAAGTCACTCTGTTCTAACGGAGAATGGCTGATAGGGGCTAAGAATGGAGGCAGGAGGCAGAGAGTTGGCTCTGAAAGTAAAGTGGGTGAGAGATGACAGTAGCTTAGCCTAGGGTGGTGGCAGTGGAGGAGGTGAGAAGTAATCTCATTCAGCCCCTGTATGGGAAGGAGAGCCAGAGAGCAAGCTAATGGATTACATGTGATAGGGCTAAGGACGGAACAACAACAACAACAATAACAAAAAACAGAAAAAAATTAATCCCAGATTTTAAGATTTTGAACCCTTAGCCCCCGGGTAGAGGATGATGGTACATGTATTTACTGAATCCCTGGAGAATGGTGCAAGTGCAGAGTTCATGTTGGCCACATTAAATCTGAGATACTTCTAAGGTATGCAAGTGTCGAATAGTCCATTGGTTACATGAGTGGAGCTAAAAAGAGAGGTCAGGATTAAAATAAAGATTTGAGGAAGTCATTTGCATGTAGATACTATTTAAGCTGTCCATGTGGGTGAGATGACCCAGGGACAGCAGGAATGGAGAATAGAGGAGCTGGGGACAGAGCCAGGGACCCTCTGCCTGAGGGTCTGGCAGATGAGATGCCAGCAAAGGAGACCCAGGGGGTCTGACCAGGAGGCAGGAGAAAGGATAGGGAAGCATGGTGGCCTGGAAAACTGCAGGAAGGAAGCGTGGATGCTGGTACTGCATACTGTTCAAAGATCACCCACGATGAAGATGGGAGAGGGACCACTGAATTTGGCAAAACAAAGTTGGGAACAGAATCCAGTTGAAGTGGGTTAGGAAGAGGAAGGAGGCTGACAGCGCAAAACAGCGGGGACACCCTCTGTCAGGGATCTGGCCTGGACCTGTGGTTGATGGGAGAACTCAGGTGGTTGGCGGGGGCCCTGCATGGGCCTGTTCTCTACATGGTGAGTGAGGAGGTGTTTGTGAAGAGGCTAAGAGGGTACCATAGAACCATGATTCCTGTTACTTCTGGGCCCACCTGAGGGCTATGTGAGTAGCCCTGGGGAACCTATGGGAGAGGGTCTGTGACCTCTGGGAGATAGAACTCCATCTTAACCCTAGACCCTGTTCTTACTATTTGAGGCTAGTCAGGAAGGAGCCCTTGGTTGCCCAGAACCCCTGGGAAGGGCTCCAGAATGGCCTCTGCCTCATCTTGTAGGGCACACTAGGGCTATGTTGGGATTCTTTCCCACATGGTCACCATCTTGCCTTCCCCTTTCAATACTTTGAAGGCCTGGCCTCTGAACCCCTCTTCTGTGAGTGAGATTAAAAAGAAAAAATCCCAGGGCGGCTGCTGTGGCTCAAAGGAGTAGGACGCTGGCAGGTTCAAACCCAGCCCTGGCCAAAAACTACAAAAAATAAAAAATCCCAGCTCTGCACCATTAAAGATTAATAGAGAAATGCCAAACACTCTTTCCTCTCCAGAATATTCTTTGGGTCTTGAATAGTTTCTACCCCACCTTCCCTGAACTCATGAATTTGGTTTAAAAACACATTCACACAGGTATCCAAAAATGTGGATGGGTAGGACTGGCTGTCACTTAGGAGTGGGTGGTTCTATTTACTGAGATGAGGAAGCCTGGGGGAGAAGCGGGTTTGGAGAGATGTGAGTTGGGACGATGCTTGGCCCATAGTAGAAGCTCACTATTTATGGAATGAAAAAATGAATGAAATGTGGGTAGGCACACGGCCGTGGGAACCGAGCAGTGTGCGCCAGGGCACAACGAGGTGGAAGAAGGTGCTGCAGACATCCAAGATGAGCAGAGATCCAGGCTTCGGATGCCGTACATATACGGTGGGGTGGACGTTACTGGCATGCGTGACCTCAGGGTCTGTGTGTGCTCTGTTCAGGTGTGTGCATCCTGCTCAGGTGTGTGCTCGCTCAGGCGTGTGTCCTGTTCAAGTGTGTGTGCTCTTCTCAGGTGTGCACCTGCTCAGGTGTGTGCACCCTGCTCAGGTGTGGGCCGCTCAGGTATATGCTCCACTCAAGCGTTTTCCCTGCTCAGGTGTGTGCCTTGTTTAAGTATTTGTGCCCTGGTCAGGTACGTGCTTCCTGCTCAGGTGTGTGTGCCTGCTCAGGCGTGTGCTCTGCTCAGGTGTGTGCCCTGCTCAGGTGTGTGCCCTGTTCAAGTGTGTGTGCCCTGCTCAGGTGTGTGCCTGCTCAGGTGTGTGCCCTGCTCAGGTGTGTACCCTGCTTAGGTGTGTGCTCCCTATTCAGGTGTGTACCCTGTTCAAGTGTGTATGCCCTGCTTAGGTGTGTGCCTGCTCAGGTGTGTGCCCTGCTCAGGTGTATGCTCTGCTCAGGTGTGTACCTTGCTCAAGTGTGTATGCCCTGCTCAAGTGTGTGTGCCCTGCTCAGGTGTGTGCCCTGCTCAGGTGTATGCTCTGCTCAGGTGTGTACCTTGCTCAAGTGTGTATGCCCTGTTCAAGTGTGTGTGCCCTGCTCAGGTGTATGCTCTGCTCAGGTGTGTACCTTGCTCAAGTGTGTATGCCCTGTTCAAGTGTGTGTGCCCTGCTCAGGTGT